CTGTTGTGTTTGGAGAAAATCGCATGTTTGTGTTTTGTTAGTGCCGAAGTATTTTGTCAAGGGTGTTTTTAGTTGTTTACTATGAGGAAACAAACCTGAATTATTGGATTGTGTTCTGGGTACGTAAAAAAGTATATATAAAATGTAAGTAATAGCAATAAAATTTCTTTAAAATCTTTGTAGATTAACAAAAAATTTACAAATTTTTTTATAAAACAGCATTGTGGGTACAGTGACACGAATATTGATAGGGAACAGTGACACGATGTGTCACTGTACCCTTCTTGTGAATTTCATAAAATCTTGACAGCAAATGAGTGCTGGAAAATCATATTAGGGTCTAAGAAGCTTTTGTTAATTATGAATTTACATTACAGATGGTACGTCAGAAGAAAACGGATAAGACAGTGGGTAGATTCAATGAAGATTCTATGAGGGAAGCAGTCAATCTAGTTATCAGTGGTATATCAATTCGTCAAGCTGCTAGAGAGAAAAACTTAAGCTTTAAAACCGTAAGCAGATACGTAAAGAAATACAGAGATGATCCCGAATGCCGAATGGCTCCTAACTATAAAATAAACCAAATATTTTCTTTGGAGCTAGAGGAAGCTCTCGTTGATTATATCATAACGTGTTCAAAAATGTTTTACAGTTTAACAATTACCGATTGTCGCAAACTTTCATATGGCTTAGCGAAAGCAAATAAATTAAAAATTCCAAAAAATTGGGAGGAGGAAAAAAAAGCTTCAGTCGACTGGTATAAAGGATTTCGCCATAGACATCGTACAATATCCTTAAGAACTCCAGAGGGATGTAGTCTAGCAAGAGCAGCAGGATTCAATAAAGAAAATGTAAACTTATTTTTTAATAAGTTGGAAATAGTTTTGCAGCGACATCCAAATTTTTCAAATGGATTCAGAATTTACAATTTAGACGAAACCGGAACTTTGACAGTTCAAAACAATTCGACAAAGGTGCTAGCCAAAAAAGGCACTAGACAAGTGTCTAAAATTCAAAGCAGTGAAAGAGGTACACTTGTTACCACATGCTGCATTGTAAGTGCAAATGGAAGTGCAATCCCACCCGTAATGGTATTTCCGGGAGTCCATTTTAAAAGCCATATGTTGGCAGGAGCGCCATGTGGGACGTTAGGCTTGGCTACGAAAGCAGGATGGATGAACACAGAATGTTTTATTGAAGTTTTAAAACATTTCATTAAACATACTTATAGTTCAACAGCTAACCCTTCACTATTAATCATGGACAACCATGAGAGCCATATATCTCTTGAAGCTATCATTCTGTGCAAAGATAATGGGGTCACTGTTTTGACTGTGCCTTCTCATTGCACCCATCGGTTGCAACCATTAGATGTGGGTCTGCTAAAACCGTTTCATATATTTTACAAAGAAGCTTTTGTTAATTATGAATTTACATTACAGATGGTACGTCAGAAGAAAACGGATAAGACAGTGGGTAGATTCAATGAAGATTCTATGAGGGAAGCAGTCAATCTAGTTATCAGTGGTATATCAATTCGTCAAGCTGCTAGAGAGAAAAACTTAAGCTTTAAAACCGTAAGCAGATACGTAAAGAAATACAGAGATGATCCCGAATGCCGAATGGCTCCTAACTATAAAATAAACCAAATATTTTCTTTGGAACTAGAGGAAGCTCTCGTTGATTATATCATAACGTGTTCAAAAATGTTTTACAGTTTAACAATTACCGATTGTCGCAAACTTTCATATGACTTAGCGAAAGCAAATAAATTAAAAATTCCAAAAAATTGGGAGGAGGAAAAAAAAGCTTCAGTCGACTGGTATAAAGGATTTCGCCATAGACATCGTACAATATCCTTAAGAACTCCAGAGGGATGTAGTCTAGCAAGAGCAGCAGGATTCAATAAAGAAAATGTAAACTTATTTTTTAATAAGTTGGAAATAGTTTTGCAGCGACATCCAAATTTTTCAAATGGATTCAGAATTTACAATTTAGACGAAACCGGAACTTTGACAGTTCAAAACAATTCGACAAAGGTGCTAGCCAAAAAAGGCACTAGACAAGTGTCTAAAATTCAAAGCAGTGAAAGAGGTACACTTGTTACCACATGCTGCATTGTAAGTGCAAATGGAAGTGCAATCCCACCCGTAATGGTATTTCCGAGAGTCCATTTTAAAAGCCATATGTTGGCAGGAGCGCCATGTGGGACGTTAGGCTTGGCTACGAAAGCAGGATGGATGAACACAGAATGTTTTATTGAAGTTTTAAAACATTTCATTAAACATACTTGTAGTTCAAAAGCTAACCCTTCACTATTAATCATGGACAACCATGAGAGCCATATATCTCTTGAAGCTATCATTCTGTGCAAAGATAATGGGGTCACTGTTTTGACTGTGCCTTCTCATTGCACCCATCGGTTGCAACCATTAGATGTGGGTCTGCTAAAACCGTTTCATATATTTTACAACGATGCTTTAAGTTCGTGGGAAAAAGCTAATCCGGGCACACCTGTGACAATCTACCATGTAGCATCATTTGTGGGACTCGCTTACCCCAGATCTATGACACCTGTAAATATATCGGCAGCTTTTAAAAAAACTGGAATATTTCCCTTTGACCGTCACGTATTTAATGATGATGATTATTTCGCAAGCCAAGTTACAGAACGACCATTAGTTAATTCACCAAATATTGATCCAAAACCATCTACCTCGACAGGAGGTACCACAGATAACTCTATCAAGAACCAGGACGTAACTCCATTACAGAAATTGTCACCTTCATCCACAAGTGGAAGAAAATTGACATTTGTAAGTCCATCAGCTATTCGTGAATATCCAAAAAAAAGTCTGACAATTTCGGTTAAAACTAGAAGAAAAAAAGGCAAGACTATGATTGCTACTGACACTCCAGAGAAAAACGAAATTGAAAGTAATAGAGCCAAAAAAGCGAAAACAGTTAAAAGAAGCATAATCTCAGAAGACACTAAAAACAATGATGATGTTATTGAGTCGGAAGACGAAGATGGTAAAACTTATAGTCTCCATAATTCTGACACGTCAGAGGGAAGTGAAATATTTTCAGATAGTGATGATGAAGACCTATGTGATTTGACATTAGATCCAGCCAAAATTTGCGACATTAAGATCAATGATTTCTTATTAGTGAGACTCAAATATGAAGCCCATTCCAATAAAGAAATCGAAAAATATTATATTGGGAAAGTTGTGGTGATAAACACCATTGGTACGATGGAAGTCAGTTTTTTACGTAAAAATTCAAAAAATGTCACATGCTTTGTGTTTCCATGTGTCACAGACATTGGTGTTATATTCAACAACCAGATTATAAAAATTTTGGACCATCCAAAAATTAGCAGGGGTCGACACTTTTTTCCTAATGTTAAAACGGACTTGATTTCATAGAAAACAACAAGCATTTATAATATTTTTCTATAGATCAATAATAAAGATACGTTTTTATTGTTTAATTAGTCCTAAATAATAATACTTACATATTACAGTTGAAAAATGTCTTTGTGTCAGTGTACCCTTCATACCAGGGAACACTGACACAATGCAAAGTTTCAGACTTTTTTTTAAATCTATTTGTTTTCTTAATTTATAGCAATGTAGTCATTCATGATGTATTTGCAACACAATAACACATCCAAATTGATATTTGCAAGTAAAATCCTATTAATGGTCTAGCGATGACAGAAATTCAAATTTTTCTGTGTCACTGTATCCACCTCTCCCCTACTTACCTCAAGCTCAAAACTTATAACTCTTCCTTTTTATATTTTTCAGGTATCAAAATGTTCCTTTGAACATCTAGGTCCTTTTTCTTGAACTTATAACTTTTCTATTTACCATTTTTTATTTTCTTTTATATTTATCAGGGCACTTTATAGAGGGCCTTCCATGCTTAAGTTGTAAGTTAAGTACTACATGAACATTACATTACAAAAAACATTTTTATCATATTTAAATTTCATCTCAACAGCACATTTAAACATATCATTTACTATATCACTCTTCAACAATAAATTTTATAGAACCCATCTTCCTACATATGTCTTTTTTACCATTTTCTAGGTACCAAATGTTTCATAACATACAGGGCTTTTGTTAAAAATCTTTAGTTAAGAACAAATAAATTTAGACACATGTATAGTTGGTTGCCTATCGATACCTACAAAATTTCACGTACCTCAGTCTACCTACATTAATTTATAAAACAATTTTTCATGTTCTCAACATAAATATAGGACAAATTCACATTACAGACTGCAACATTGATGGTTGATACTGTTATATTATTATAATTTTTAACTTATTCAATTTTAAATAATGCTGGCTTCTGTCATATTTAGACAACTACCGTAAGTTGCAATGACTGCTTTGTTCCGACATCCGTCCTTATTGTCATTTTTATCAGTTGTTATCAACAAGTACTCGAAGACACTTTTTACCAATTCCAACGGTAACTTGAACATCTTAATTTGTAATAACATATAATGTAACAAAATTTTAAATTAACAACTTTAACGGGTTTTTACCCATATATTTTAGTGGCTCATAGCATGTATACTTCGTAAGTATTAACCACATTTTGCATTAACCTTAGTCAACATTTTAAATTCTATGTTCTTTTTAATTAAAGTGGTTATATACTTTCAGGTTACACTGATGATGGAATTTTAATTTCGAAAACGTTCTGTAATGTAATTGTGATATAGCCCGTTTGGGTATTTTATTATATACCTTTTATAAAGGATTTGAAATAAAAAAAATTTGTGATACATGGTATACATCCAGCTACAGGAACTTAGATTCCTAGTGGATTTTGATCTCATATATATATATATATATATATATATATATATATATATATATATATATATATATATATATATATATATATATCGCACCCTCAGTGCAAACTTCAGCAAGTCAGGATAAGTAAATCGGTCAAATAAGACACAAGTTTTTAAAAAAATTATCATTTATTTATGATTTTGTATGCTTTTTAGCCCATATTACATTATACCATGTAATAAATATTACCAAAAATAGAAATTTAATAAAATAATATTAATATTAAAAAAATGAGGAATTTCAAAGTTACAACACTTTTGCACGGAAAAAATTGTTAATCACTACACAATTAGTATTAGAACTTTAAAGTTACAACACTTTTGCACGGAGAAAGTTGTAAAAAGTGTAGAAACATTTTCTGTTAGTTGTTGTCCTCTTTTTCTATATCATCTTGCGCCAAAATATTTGTATAAAAACTATGGTGGGCTTCTGGTATCATACCCGAATGGCAATAAATCATCCGGTAAGTAAAGAAAAAATAATTCCCAACAGCATTCGAGGTTTAGTATGGTATTAAACTTTACATTTAATGGATTGCCAGAAATCAGATAGCTACCTAGAATAAATAGGTACCTAATAAGATGGCTTATCACTAGCGGCAATTTTTCTTATGTCTGCACATGTTTCTGATAGCCACAATTCCTTGGATTTGTAAAACTGTCACTATTTTTATTTAAATTTAAAACAAAAGGACTAATAAAAATATGCAAATCGGGCTAACTTGAGTACAGTGATTAACAAAAGGTTAGAAATTCACTATCTTAGTAAAAGTTACAGGGGCACAATGTGATAAGACAATCGCCCCGGAAGGTTACATGAAGATTTAATACAATTTGTGATTTAGTTTTTATAGAGTAAGTTTCCTGAGAATATATATTTTTAACCTGTCAGTATTGTTAATACACAAGTTTTAAGATAACTGTTTTTCCTTTCATAAGAAAAAATACTTTTTGGCTGTAAATAATTAGTCTTAATTCATGTGTTTTTAATCCACTCCAATCCAAGGGTCTTCAAACCTACAATTAACCACGTTGTTCCACTTTACATGACACTCAGTACAGGTTAATAAGAAAATATAAGATGTAAAACTCTCGAGAGAGGACATTCGGTCCTACACATAATAGTTAAAATTGTGTATTGTCTTTGTACCAGTCTTAGTGAATTTACATTACATGTTTTTTCTGTTTTTTCTTTTTGTGAAAAAAACTTATACAATTTTTTCACAAAAAATTTTTATAACTTTGACCAGATTTTACGGCACTATTCTCAAAATCGTAAGTAACATCAACTTATTTATAACAGATTGTCAGTTTTCATATAAACTAATTGTAGCTTATCCCTGATGATGTCGATAACTGTCGACGAAATATTGGATTATTAAACGACTAAAGAGTACACTTAGCCTATCCTTTCAGCTGTTTTTACCCAAAGAGTCTTAAAATTGTTTTTTTTTTCTAACTTAATCAGCTATGATTAACACAATATATTTAATATAGAGATAGGTTTCTACTCCACCATAAGAGCGAACCATGGAGATGTGGCAGTCTTATCACTCAAACACTGGGCAAAGACAAAACTAAAGCTAGCACAAGAATACAACAGGAAACTATGCATCCGTCCTGACCACATAAATGCAGCGACCAATCCTGTCAGCGAGATGATGAGTCAAGAAAACGAGAGCCTTTTTTACATCTTCAAATCAACAACATGAACACAAGTTTAGGAGATAAACTTTTAAACTATGAGATAGGTATCAATCATAAATTAATTAAACAATTAGAGAAAAAATTACTAAATTTAAAGACAGTTATCATTAAGCATTGTGGAGAATTCGTGTTTAATGAATTCAAAGGTAGATAATTAAGAGTATACAGTCATTCTTTTCATAAAATCAAAAGAAAACAAATCAATAAACTAAACAACTTAAAAGAAAATACTATAAAAAATACACTCAAAGTCAAATCAAATTGGTTAAAAAACTTAACCAATGTAGAGATTCCGCACGATGTTTCATGTATATTAGCGTTAGGTCCAAAATTTAGCATAGAACCTGTTTTTACATTATAATATCTCTGTAAAGCGTCTTATGGCCGATATAGACTATGCCACTTCTTTTATTAAACAGAAAGAATTGAGATCAATTGCCACAGCCAGAGCTACAAACACTCTTACTAATTATGTAACAAGTAACAGTTCAACTAAACCTTCCTTCTTACAACAACTAGTAAATAAAACAAAATATTTTCTTAAACAAAACCCACAACTAATAGTTACTTTATCAGATAAAGGTAACGTAACTGTAGTTATGGAAAAACATCAATATATGGAACTGTCCAATGAATTAATAACGAACAGTAATACCTATATTGAACTACGCAGTGATCCTACTTCTTCTGTTCAGGCTAAAAGTAACAAACTCATAAAGTCATTAAACACAAAAGGCATGATAGACAATGCCACAAAAAAGAAACTTACAACATATAACAGCGTAACACCTAAATACTATTCTCTACCAAAGATTCATAAACCTCAACTGGCAGTAAGACCTATAGTATCGTCCATGGGAGCGCCTACAGAGAAAATAGCCACTCTAGTAACAGACATTCTAACAACCTCATATGACTTAAACAATGAATATTACATTAAGGACTCGTTTGAAGTAAAAAAACTAGTTGAAAATATCACCCTTCCACCTAACTATATTCTTGCTAGTCTTGATGTGGTGTCTCTGTTTACTAACGTCTACTTAGAAGCTTGTTTAAGATCAATACAAAAAAGATGGGATATAATTTCAACTCATTGCAAAATAGACCTAGATACCTTCTTGGAGTTGGTAACCTTTTTGTTCGAAAACACTTATTTCTCCTTTGACAATAAGATATATAAATCTACCTTTGGAACACCAATGGGTGCAAAAGTTTCACCAATCCTAGCTGCATATGTAGTAGATGATATCCTTGACACAGTCATTCCAGTCTTACCCTATAACCTTACCTTTATAAAGAAATATGTCGACGACATCATTCTGGCACTTCCAAAAGATCAAGTAGAAGACATTTTATCAGTCTTCAACAGTTATGATCCATATATACAGTTCACAATAGAAGTAGAGGATAATGAACAATATGTTCCCTTCCTCGACACCAAACTAATTAGAACTAACAACAACAATATCCTAGTGGACTGGTATAGAAAACCAACAGCATCAGGTAAATATCTACACTACCTATCATATCACAAACATTCAATGAAAATTAATCTATTAAAACAAATGAAGACCAGAGTGATGAAAATTTCAGATATAACCTTTCACGAAAAGAACCTCAAACTTTTGCACAACCTATTTACAGATAACTCTTATCCCACTGATTTAGTTAAGAAAATCCTTTATGACACCCCTTTATCCGTTCCTCAGGGTATAGTAGATGAATTAAACAACATCAATACAAATGTCCAAAGAGAAATAGGTAGCTCCGAACAAATTGACACTAACAACCGAGAAATAGGAGAAAATGTTAAACATATTACAACCAATGAACCAAGTACAAATACACAATGATTTCTCTACCTTATATCAAAGAGCTCACACCCAGACTAGCAAGGGTACTTAATTCTTTTTATAATTTCAAAATTGCCAATAAAACGGTATTTTCAATAAAAAACCTTCACACAAAAGTAAAAGACAAAACATCTAGAGAGCAGATGTCACATGTAGTCTACAGCATTCCATGCAAAAACTGCAATAAAAAATACATAGGCCACACAGAAAGGCATCTAAAAAATCGCATAATTTCACACAAAAGCGACTGCAGACTGCATCATGACCGTTGCTCATTAGCGCTTCATGTAGTAAATGAAGGACATCAGATGGACTTTGAGTCAGTAGAGGTTCTAGAAAGGGAAACCAATTACAAGAAACGTCTTTTCCTAGAAATGGCTTGTATAGCACAAACAGAAAATAACATAAATAAAAAAACAGACATCAACCACCTCAGTGAAATCTACTCCTTTCTTCTAGCAGTAGACAAACAACATATGAAATTCAATAATTCAATAGTTTCCATTTTAGAATAAATTTAACACCATTTTATCACATAGTTTAACAATAGACTCTTAAAGTAAAAAATCATACAGCACATTATCAATTATAATAATTAACATTTCATATCAAAAATTTAAATACAAAATTACTTTATTAATCTTCAACCTTTACAAAATAACTAGGTCTTGGAATCAACCAAGATCTATTTATTAAACTCTTGTTACAGTGATCTTCAATCACGTTAACAATTTCAATTTTTTTAAAGTATCTCCTACCTAAGATTCTATTCTAATACAGGTACAGACAACCAATAAGGCAAGGGCCACTAAAATCTCCCCTCTACTTTGACCATCTAAGAGAGAAGAAGATTTTAGAGGTTAGTGTCTTCAAACCTACAATTAACCACGTTGTTCCACTTTACATGACACTCAGTACAGGTTAATAAGAAAATATAAGATGTAAAACTCTCGAGAGAGGACATTCGGTCCTACACATAATAGTTAAAATTGTGCATTGTCTTTGTACCAGTCTTAGTGAATTTACATTACATGTTTTTTCTGTTTTTTCTTTTTGTGAAAAAAACTTCACAAAAAATTTTTGTAACTTTGACCAGCTTTTACGGCACTATTCTCAAAATCGTAAGTAACATCAACTTATTTATAACAGATTGAGTAAATAGTTTAGTGAAAATGAATGCTAATGTTAAAAACCTCTACCGAAATCATTACGTGTATTTTTTGGAAGAGATGGCGTTGAATATTCTTTGAACGGTGGAGGTTGACAACCCTGACCATAAACTTTTGGAAGGCGCGTCGTTGTTTGACCTTCCGAAGAAATCGTCGTAGTAATCATAATCGGTGGTAATGACATTAAATTTTGCATAGTACGCAGCGGCAAGAGACGAATAAATTAGCAAAAGCGCCGTGAATAGCTGAAAAAGAAAAAAAAAAAAAAAATTAAAATAATTGTATTAGTCTTTGATTTTCAAATTTTACAACAGGTACATTTTAGAGCTTAAAATTTATTTAAATATCCACCAGTTTAGTCATCGAGGAATTTCAGGAATATTTGGCTAATGTATTTAAATTATGTTACAATATAAATTGTTAACAATATAATTTTATTTTATTTTTATGTTTAATAAGCACGGTGATAATTTATATTACTTGCTCTAATTATTTTCAAACTTTAGTAAGTGTATTATAAACTTATTAATGCTAATAAATAGCATTATTCTACAGAATTCTAATATTTTAGCTATGGATTAAATCCGAATAGCGGTTTGATATTCCTTTACTTTCTCGGAGAAATTATAATGTAACACACAAGATCCTATTAAATTACCAAAACCTTCCTTTCATATTCTATTTACTTATAAGCGGCAACAATAACAGCAGTACGATAATAAGGCGTACCTATAGTCATGGGCTGGCTAATAGGAAGCATGAATGTAGCAGTTTTATTGGTTTCGGGACTGCTACCTGGATTTTGGAAGCAGGATATAAGCATTAAGTTAATACGCATAGGAATTGTTGCTTGACCGGCAAAATATCAAATACTAGAAGGCACGACGGTAGCAGTCTGAGAAAGCAAAGTAAAACAACTTTACTATTATTAGACAATATCATATTTCCTAATAAAATAATATTGTCTTTAAAGAGACAAATTTTCTACTGCTGGATATCGAAACATTATGAATATACCAGCGGGTTTTATACGTCGGTATCCAGCAAAATTGTTGTAATAATGATACGAGAAACAAAAAACTTGAGATGGAAATGGGCGCCAAGAAACTCAGCGTTAATAAGCAGTCGAATAAAATACAGATTCTCGATTCAAATAGTCAAAAAATTACAGCTTAATAAAATAGAAATAGCGCCTATTTACAATGTAATCCATTAACGGCCCAAGGTACAAAGCAGCTTCTAGTTATGTTGATAATTAGATTTATATCTATAAATATGTAATCTACATACTCAACAAAGTCCAAAGAGCACGAAAAAGTTTCAAGTAAAATCAACGAAGTGAAAACCAAATACAAGCGCATAATTAGAAGAGACCGATTCAGTAAATCTAGATAGAACATTAAAGTCAACAACTATAATTTCGAAAGTATGGAAGACTTTAAATATCTTGGAACAATAATCACAGTTGGTAATAATATCACTGAAGGAATTTAGAGCAAAATACAAGCTTTAGACCTATTTTAATGTATGGATGCGAATCATGGACTGTTAATAAATAGTGTAAGTTTTGAGAATTTCACGTTTTTATTATAAAGTTTAAAACAATAGCGATACACAAATATATTTTTAAATTGTCTTTACTCTTCGAAAGCTTGTAGAGGTAAGTGGAGTGGACAGTCACGATACACTTACACCGGTATGCTCGATAGCCCATTAAAAACTGGTCAATTTTGCGCAGACGTCACGTGCGAAGCAATTCTCCTTTATTTACGTTCTGTTTACATAGGATATGTTGTGTTATTTGTGTTAATTCGTTAAGTATTTCTATTTAATATCATAGTGATAGCTTTAGGTGTATATGTATAGTTTATAAAGTGTATACAGTATTTTATATTTTTAATTTTTCATTGATAATACAGTTAATCAAACATTTAAAATGCCGGGATGTGCAGTAGCGTGTTGCAAGAATTTCAATCGAAAAACTAGGAGAACAGATATTAAATATTTTAGATTTCCCAAGAATGAAGACTTAGCGCAAAGGTGGATTGTGGCTTGTCGACGTCAAGATAATATAAATTTAAAAAATGGTAAGTTTCACCGTTTTACTCGTTTGCTGTACCTACTAGGTACCTGTTTTACTCGTTTGTTGTATCTATTATTTTTTAAATTACAGCCTGCGTCTGTTCCGTACATTTTGAATCGGATTGTTTCGAAATACCATTGAAAGAAAGGCTTCTGCAGTATACACCGAAAAATAGTCGCCATTTGAAATCGGACGCAGTTCCAACTTTAAATTTGAATGGAAGTACAATAAAACGGTTAGATAAAGCTAAAAATGAGGAACGTTCTGAGCGATCTCTACGAAGAAACCGTCAGAATGAAATTAGGGATATCTTGAATGCTTCTACGAGTACTACAAATGCTCAAATTATCAATAGCGAAGCTAACTGTCAGATTCCCTATTCCAGCAATGTAATACTTCAGACAAAAAATATGTAAGTATTTATAACTGCATTTGAATAAAATTATCGCATGTATAAACTGATATGGACAAATTAATAGTAATGTATTTTTTTCAGATCAAATAGTGAAGTTGAGTTTAAATAAAGAATTAAGATGTTGGAGGAGCAGAATGCATTACTCTTACAAGAATTAGAAACCAAAAACTCATTGCTTCAGAAATATGAATCTGCAATGAAAATTGTTTTTACTTCAGGTCAAATCAGAAAACTACTTAGTCCAAACAATACAAATATTCATTGGTCAGCAGAAGATATTGCTTCGGCAATTTCTTTACGTAGCGTAAGTCCCAAGGCATATAGGTTTCTAAAAGCAAATAGTTTTCCTTTACCGGCCATGTCTACTCTTCGACGTTGGATATCAGAGTTTGATACAAGTCCAGGGGTTTTGAGTAGCGTATTGAATTTAATGAAAAAAAAAATCAACAGAGTATAGTCAAGTTGAAAGAATATGTATACTTTCATTTGATGAAATTTATTTGTCAAATAGAATTGATATCGATAAGAAACATCAACAAGTTTTGGGACCTAATAAATCTTGTCAAGCAGTGATCGCGCGTGGTTTAACTTCTAACTGGAAACAACCAGTGTATTATCAATTTGATCAAGTTATGACTGAAGAAATTCTCAAGTCAATTATTGTAGAATTGTTTTATGCAAATTTCACCATAGTAGCAATTACTAGTGATATGGGTACTACAAATGTCAGTCTGTGGTCAAAACTAAATGTTGGACATGATACAAATTGCTTTTTCAAACATCCTTGTGATAATACTTTAAACGTTTTTGTCTATGCAGACGTCCCACATTTAATAAAACTAGCTCGAAATCATTTAATAGATAATGGTTTTGTCATAGATAATCATATTATTAATATTGATTATTATGAGGCATTGCTGAATATTTCAACGACAGAATTAACATTCGTCCACAAATTAACTCATAATCATCTTCAGCTCACAGGATCTATGAGACAACGGGTGAAACCAGCTGTACAGTTGTTCTCAAATTCTGTAGCAAAGTGCATGGAGTATGTTGGAGAAAAAGGACTTATGCCCAAGAATAGTTATTGGAAGGAATCTGCTAATATAACCCAATTATTTAACGATTGGTTTGATATGCTAAATGCCAGATCCAAATTTGGAAAGTGTCCAGGACAAAACGCTTTTGGTACTGACATAAATAAGCAAAAAGATTTGTTGAATAAAATGACGGTATTCATAAATTCCATGAGAGTAGGTAAACATCAGAAGCTCATTCCATTTCAGAAAGGAATATTACTAACCAACAAATCGCTTGCAGCTATGTACGATTATCTGCATGAAAAGTACCAGATAGATTATATTTTAACTGCTCGATTAAATCAGGATGTTCTTGAAAATTTCTTTGCCTATATTCGAGGAATGGGTGGAGCCAATGATCATCCATCTCCCTTGGATTTCCAATATCGCATGAGATGGTATCTTTTGGGAAAACAGTCAGCAGCTATTTTCACGGAAAATAGAAATACTCTGGAGAGTTCAGAAGAATGTTTAGTCAATGTGACCCACCAAACTAACTTGGACACTCCTCCAATCGATGATGTCCAAGTAGATGAAGTTTGCATGACACAAGAAATGCTTTCACCTTTGACAGATGAAACTACAATACCGGGGAATATTGTTTATGAGGAAGAGGATATTACTGCTACTCATTTTGTTCAGCCGAGTTATTTACAAGAACAAATGTTAAATGAAGAAAGTGTAAATTTAATGGAAAATTTTGAAATCAAAGAACAGGTTAATTTGGAATCGCTCAAATATGTTGCTGGATTCGTAGCACACAAATTCAAAAATAAATACCAACTAGGAATCCCTACAGAAGAATTCCAGTTATTGGACAACAAACCTGATTGGTTACACATTATCTCCAGGGGATCACTTCTGAGGCCCACCGATGAATTGTGGAAAGTAGCAGTTGTGCTGGACTCAGAATTCCATAAAATGCATGGAAGCAGTTTGTGTAAAGAAAAAAATATTTTCACAAAATTAGCTGAAAACACTCTTTCTCAATTACAAAATAATACCATACCATTTGAGGTAATTGAATGTCTTAGCAGAACTCGAACATATATTCGACTACGAGATTTAAATCGTACTATAAGTTTAAAAAATAGTCAAAGAAAAGCAGATAGAAAACTAGCAAAATTGACTAATATTAGAAAATAAATTAATTCCATTTTTACTTTTTTATTTTCTATGTGTTTTCATATTATTTTATAACTTTAGATAAAAGAAATTATTGAGAAATTATTATTAATTACATAAAAACAATCTTTAGTTAATAGTCAACAATAAATTTCTATTATATTATTTGTGTTTTTTAGTTTTTGACTTTTATTAAAATTTCTATTTGTTAAATTTATGTATTATAACCAACTGTTTATTGGTATGTTAATAAATATAATACTACTTCTTTATGAAAGTTTTCGTCCGATTGTTACTATTCCTCTTATCTATTTCTTTCTCAGATTATTTATTTCAGTATATCCTCTTCATGCATTATATTTTATGTTTTTCTTGAAAATTCATAACATACAGGAAATATTTAACAAATGCATTACTTTACAAAGTAAATACAAATACAATTTTTACAGATTACACATGAGTTTAAACTCATGTTACTAATTTTTATTTAAAATAATTCATATCTACGTTACAGTCAGTTTCAAATTCTGCTTCGCAAGTGACGTCACACGCTGTGAGTGCGATGCGCCTGCACATACCGTTGTAAGTGTATCGTGTGGACTGTGTATTTTCTCGGTGAGTGGGGGAGCAACCCGCACCCCTTGTCCTAGTGTCTGGAATTCGGAACAGGTCCGGTTTGGCACTAACATAGAGTCCCGGCCTTGAAGCACTGTAGGGGTTCGAAAGAAAGTAAACTAATTCGGCAATACACAAATTTTGGTCACGGAAAGTTTCAATTCACTTGTAGAAGTCCTCACTGTGACGGCACGAATAACTTGATCGTCACCAGTATGTAGTTGGGAAATTCGTCCTAATTTCCATTTTAGTGGTGGGATTCCATCTTCTTTAATAAGGACCATAGCGCCAATGTTAATTAATTGAAGAAAATTGGTCTTCCACTTGATACGGGCTTGTAAGGAGGATACGTATTCCTTGGACCACCTAGTCCAAAAATGCTGCACCATTGACTGTAGTCGTTGAAACCTTGAAAGTCGGTTTTCGGCCAGATCAAGTATCTGGCTATCAGGTGGCGCCATCAGGTTGTCTCCAATCAGAAAGTGTGCGGGTGTAAGAGGAGTTAGGTCATTGGGATCATGAGAGAGAGGACAAAGAGGACGAGAATTAAGGCAGGCCTCTATCTGACACAATACTGTATTAAATTCTTCAAAAGTTAGTAAAGCATTGCCCATTACCCTTTTTAAATGATGTTTTGTGGATTTAATTCCAGACTCCCAAAGACCCCCAAAATGGGGAGATTTGGGAGGTATAAACTTCCACTGAATACCATCTTGTGATAAACCATTTGCGATGCTATTCGCGCGAGAAGAAAGAAATGTGGTTAATTCGTTGTTAGCTCCTACAAATGTAGTCGCGTTGTCAGAATGTATTTCATTGCATTTACCACGTCTCGAAGTGAAACGACGTAGACATGCTAGGAAGCACTCAGTTGTGAGATCGCTGACTATCTCTAAGTGGATAGCCTTAGTGGCGAAGCACACGAAAAGTGAAACGTAAGCTTTAGTTGTTTTGAAATTTCTACCCTTTCGATCACGCAGTAGGAATGGACCAGCATAGTCTAATCCAGTTATCGAAAAAGGCCGAGAGGGAGTGACACGAGAAGCAGGAAGATTTCCCATGAGGTGTGACTCAGGTCTGGGATTTACCTTAAAACATTGTATACATTCACGAACCACACGTTTTACCAGGTTGCGTCCCCCTAGAGGCCAAAATCTCTCTCTCAAAGCTGATAAGAGAGCTTGTGGTCCGGTATGTAAAAGTCTAATGTGTTCAGAACGTGCTATGATGGTTGTAAGGTGACATTTTGAAGGGAGAATAATTGGGTGTCTTTTACCAAAATCAAAATTGGAATGTTGTAGTCGACCTCCAACACGTATTACATTGTGTGTGGTGTCGAAGAAAGGATGTAGAGATGATAGTTTGCTTCTTCTGTTAAGAGGTTTAGAAGAAGACAACTGGTAATAATCTTCAGATAAATGGTATTGCTGCATAGTACGAATCAAAAAGAAAAGCGCTTGATTCTGTTCAAGGACAGTTAGAGGACCCAGCTGTCTAGAGGAGCTCTCAGGAATTTTAAGATTGCTTATATACCTTAAAACATAAACGAATATACGCTGTAAATTCAAAAATGAAGAATGTTTGTTGATTAACTCAATAGTATGGGCGTCGAATTTGTTGACAGAGTTAATAAAAGAACAACTAGTGTTTCGAACTTCTGGAAGGTTTTCTGTAAGAATCATAGTAGATTGTTGCGCATTGTTTGTTGGCCACTGACATTCAGTTTGAACCAACCAAGAAGGTCCATGAAACCAGAAATTTGAGGAAACTAAATTAGAAGGTGTCATCCCGCGTGTTAGTAAATCTGCAGGATTATCCTTAGTATTTACATAATACCATGAAGTGACATTCGACAGTTGCTGAATGTTTGCTACTCTGTTGGCGACAAAGGTCTTTAGTATGTGTGGGGATGAATTGATCCATGATAGGCAAATTGTGGAATCAATCCAGTAGTAAATGTTTTGGAAGTCAAAATGACAAGAAGAAGATACTTTGTCAACAAGTTGTGCCAGTAAAACAGCGCCAGAAAGTTCCAAACGTGGAATAGTTAAAGTTTTGAGTGGAGCGACGCGTGTTTTGGCACAGTACAAGTTTGAAGTAAAATTTCCCAATGTATCACAGCAACGTATGTATATTGATGCACCGTAGGCATGCTGTGATGCATCGCAGAACCCGTGCAATTGTACTGAGGTTGGATTTGGACAAGACACTTGTCGTGGTATTTTGATAGAATTCAGTAATTGTAATTGAGTATAGTATTTAGCCCAAGTTGTGTGTAAGTCAGCAGGTACAGTTTCATCCCATGATATTTTAAGCTTCCAAAGCTCTTGGAGTATAATTTTAGCAGTCACAGTAACTGGTGATAAAAGTCCAAGAGGGTCGAAAATCTGTGCAGTTGATGATAAGATTTGCCTTTTTGTAATTCTGAAAGGATGAGTTGAACCACTAATCGAATATTGTAGGCAATCAACATTGGGGTTCCAAAGTAAACCAAGTGTTTTGGTTTGGTCACCTTCACCAATATGCAAAGGAGTTTGGCTGACATTGGATAATGAAGCTGGATCATTTGAAATCCATTTTCTCAAAGGAAATCCGTAACTTAAAAGGAGACTAGTGATTTGTTCCTTAATTTGTATAATCTCATTTACAGTTTCTGCACCTGTTAGGAGGTCGTCAACATAAAAATCGTGTAAAATGATATTAGAAATTTTAGGAAATCTATTCATGTTTCTATAAGCGGCCTCTTGAAGTGATCTAATGTCAAGAAAAGACGCAGAAGCTAATCCGTATGTCACAGTGTTTAGTGTGTACACTAGAATGTTATCATTAGCGTTGAAACGCCATAGAATCTTTTGCAGGTTACGTTGAGATTCTTGTACCAGTACCTGACGATACATTTTTGCTACGTCCGCGCTCAACACGTAGTTGTGTTTTCTAAAGCGGAGTAATATGTAAAATAAGTTGTCTTGAACGTTTGGACCGACCAACATAAGGTCGTTAAGTGAAACACCGGTCGATCTTTTGGCTGAACCATCAAAAACGACACGAAGTTTTGTAGTAGTGGAGTCAGCCTTAGGAACACAATGATGTGGAAGAAAGAAACCATTTCTGTCATTTTGATCTTCAGCCAAAGACATGTGTCCAAGATCAATGTATTCCTTGATAAATTGATGATATTGAAATCGCATATCATTGTTTTTAAGTAATTTATGCTCCAATGTCAAGAATCTGTTAGTTGCTGCAGTTTTGGAGTCTCCAAGCTCAGAAATTGATTTTTTGAGTGGAATTGTGACGATAAAACCATCTATTTTGTGTGGAAGTATATCAAGTTTGTGTGGAACAAACTTTTGAGAATCATCATATGAGATATTGTTTATTGAAAACATTTGAGTGTGAATTTTATTTCATAATTTTTATTTCAATATATAATGTTATATCATATATGTTTTTTATTATTCCGGTATTCTTTGGACCTTACCTTTCACATGTAAAGCATAGATATTGAAGCACGAATATAACCCTGAGACAAGAGAATTAAAAAGTGTGATAGAATCATAATCATATCATTTAAATAATTTTAATTAATTAATTAATTAATTAGCTAATTAATTGCTTGGCGCACAAGACTTTGAATATCGCAAGAATATATATATATATATATATATATATATATATATATATATATATATATATATCTCTAATAAATAGTAAAACACAGACTTACTTGAAAGGCGGACCAAAATTTGAAAGATCCTTCAGTAATTATAAAGTCATAGTAATTGGTAAATGCATCAGCAGCTTGTTTGGGCTCTTCTTTCAATTTTGGCATTTCAGTAGGATGGTCAACGAATATGTTATGATGATTTTCATGATCATAGTCAGGGAAATCATCCATAATTCCTCTTCCTTTCCGCGAGTTTGTCAAAGCTTCGTTATAATCTACCAATTCTTGCTCGTATCTGAAAAAAGTACTTGATTTTAATTTTTTTTTAATAAACAAAAGAAATTTTTATACCTTTAATGAAACAAAGACAGCAATTCACAAGTAATGTATCAATATCATCAATTTTTCGAAAAGGTTTTAGTTTGATTATGTGAGTAGTAAAGAAAATTCGGTAAAAAAATGATAAGAAGGACAATAGTAACTATCGCATTTTTAATACATATCCTGATAAAATGTTAGAAAACCAACCAATATTCATTTTAAGCATTAGTGCTGTTTCCGGTGATAGCTTATAGTACTGTGTTGAAAAATATAGTTGATAATGTCCATAATGATATAGTTAGTAATCTTTTCTTGAAGCCGTAAATGTATAAAAATAGTTTTACTATTTTTACTACAATTTTACTTTAAAATAAAACTAATTTGACGTTTCGATTTTCACTTCGGAAATCATTCTTAAAATAATTCTTATTTAAAAGTAAAATTTTGGCTTATTCCCAGAAAAAATAGTAAATTTTACATATCCATAAAACTATAATACTAGGCAAAGAAGACTGACAGGGTTACTCATAAAAGCCGAAACTACCTGGTACACTGATGACTTCAAAAACATCGGATGGTGTTGGATTCGGTATTAAAGAGATAAAGCAAGGGATAAATTTCTCAATAAGTATATCTAACAATGTCACAATTTTCCAGGTCGAAATAAATCACGACAATCCATCACTGCGTGAAAGAAATAGAAAGGCAGGAAAGAACGTACCATTCAATTGTTATCTTCACATATCGCTATGCAGCGGTTAACGCAATAAATTTTGTACAGGTCAATTCTATGCTAGTAGTATGTGCGCTCTAAATCTACTAGGAGATCGTAGGAATGTCAAGGTAGAAAAAGTAGATAAAATGGCCCAAAAAGGCTCATCAATGCCATTTGTTGGACCGGGACCCTTCTGCCGTGTTGCAAAGGAAGTTACAACAACGGCTACGAGAAATTGGTTAAATCTCTGGAATGGTGGAGGAATTCACCAGGACAAACAAACGTGAAACAGTTTATTAAAGAACATTAGCAAAAATTTACGGCAGACATGAACAGAAAAGAACTTTTATTACTTTTCTCTAAAGTTGATCGTTTTTGAGTTATAAATAATTTAAAACTAAAAAAACGCAAAAATATAACAAATTTTACGCTCAAATACAAGTAAAAAAATATTATTTTTTAAATCATCACGTATCTAAATTCAACTTCAAGCCTTCTTCTATTAGCACCCGATGAAAATTCTCATGTCTCACGAAAATGATTGTACAAAAAAATCTCACTGAAAAATTTTTCCAAACAAACCAGAGCTTTTCACCTTATCTATAATGTACTCTCCATTATCGAAATGAAGATTAACAAAGCTAATTTAAATAGTGCTGTAAGAAAAAACGAAAATGTTAACAATCCACCAAATAATATGTACTGTGACCCAGACATGGTTTTGCAATTCACACCTACACCGATGTACTTTCCACCGCAATCTCAACAACAGATTATGACGTACAACTAGCAACAAAACAATATACAAAGGGACAACCAAACACCAAATAATTACTTAAAAGAGTCAACGGAAACTAACTTGCAATTAGTCACTAATACGAAAAATACATTAAAACCCCGAAACGAATGTGAGACAAAAAAAATTTATAAATACTGGTTGGATGATACTATAACTACCAGCAACAAATTTAGCAGATTGGAAAAAAGGACACAAACACGAAAGATAGAAAATCCAACGAGCCCAAACCACCTTCCGTCTAGATCGAAGAGGTCAAAAACATTAACCTATCTAACTACTAGAAAACTAGGTGGATCAAAACTATACTCTTAAATAATTAAACAGTAAACAAGAAAAAATCGAGCCAGTAAATGGTGAAGCATGTAAAACAATCATGAAAGTGCTAGTCAAAAAAGCGCACTACCACACCTACAAACCTAAGGAGGAAAAAGATTTCGAGTAGTCCTAAAAAATGTTCATCTATTCCAATGTGCCAAATACAGGGCAAATCACTTATACAAAGACAGTCTAAGAAAAATTCGATGCACATGCACAAATTGTAATAAATGTCATCCAGCAAACTATACAGGATGTATGATATACAAAAAATTCTTCCAAAAAATGTACTTTAAACTAGGAGAGAGAAATGCATGGTAACATATGCTTAAACTAAACTAAAATCAGTGAAACCAAAACAGTCTTAATAATAATAATACAAACAATACTTGAGAGACAACCATATGAAATAAAAATTAACGGGAAACTACTTAATGTGATTAGACATGCAGATGATATAGTAATTCTGTCAGATAATATTGAAGGTCTCCAAATTCTGCTTGATCGTATTCAGGAGGTAAGAGATTAAATGGCCCATTAAGGTTGATCTGCACCCCCCAAAAAATAAATTCCGAATTCAAAAAATTTGAAAAAATTTGGGAAGGTGTATGAGATGACTAGAAGTATTTTGACAACTTTTAAGCAAACTTCATGTTTTCGGTTTTAAAAAAACTCAAAACAACTACTTTTTTCCAAGTATAAAGCGGGAAAACCAAACATATAATTTTGTTAATTTTTTTTACAGCATCAAGATATAATTATAAGAAATACTTAAGAATTTTTTGAAAATTTTTGAATTTACAGTTTTGTCCCAATAGGAAAAAGTAGTATGTTTCTGCTTATAATAAAGCTTCCGGTAAGAAACCAAAAATTTTTTTAATAACAACATATATAAAACTGTAAAAGTGGAAAATATTTGCAATAAAACGTTAAATATTTTTTCCTAAACATATGAGAAATCTCGTTAAACAAGAATTATGTCTTGAACCGCCGCGCCGCCTTCAAATGTGTAATGTAGGGAGATGGCTCCATCTGAAACAGTGGTAGTATTTATCATTGATAGATAGCATTACGTTCGGCTTCGAAACGCTTCAAACGAAACGACATAGTAACAAGGTTGCCATATCAATTACTTTGTTACAGTTACAGAATAGTAGATACTACAACTTTTATTTTGAAAGAACGATATCATAAAATTTACACTCTATAAGTATTATATCTATAAAAAACTTATTTAGTTTTAAAAACCTAAATAGAGTTGACAACAATAAATATTTTTTAGACTAATATTGCTTCTTTACATGCTAAGTTTTCTGACTTTTTGTCGTTTACATCTTCTGATTCCCATATACATATTTTTGGGATGGAGTTCCTCTGAAATCGGTACGGGATGTTAATAATTTTAGTGTTACGGTCAACCAAACAATAAGTTGGTCTACTCAAACACCAAAAGTAGTTAGTAAAGCGAACTCTGCTTTATTATTTATCACAAAAGCTTTTCATAGAATATCTCCAGACTTGTTTTTGAAATTCTACAAAAGTTATGTCAGACCTCACCTAGAATTTGCAGTGTCAGTTTGGTCACCTCATTTGCAAAAAGACATTAATTTATTAGAAGGAGTACAACTAAGAGGGACCTAGCTACCTTTTAATTATGGAAGATTAGACTATGAAACCCGACTAAGAAAGCTCAAGTTGTCTCCATTAACGCTTAGACGAGAAAGATATGATGTCATATCTACTTATAGAATTCTTAGTGGGGATTTTTGGAAGGGGGTGGTAGACTAAGAGGTCATAACTATAAATTGAAAAAGAAGTATTTTAAAACCACCTTAAGGCAAAACTTTTTAGTTAACCGAGTTTTTGATAAATTAAACGGTTTAAGTGATGACATAGTCGAAGCTACTAGTTTAAATAGTTTCAAAAACAATTTTGATGAAAACGAACAAAATATTGTACCTAGTCTTATGTTAATTATATTGGTTGTATTTTTTTTTCTTTTAAAAACTTATGTATACTTTACAATATTTGTATTTTTGTAATTTGCTATTGCCAGAACTTTTTGTAAGTACTAATTCTTTTGAAAATTATTTTTATTTTTACTTTGTGAGAAAATTTGATTTATATTATACTTATTATTTAGTTTAGTACATACACATATTTTGTAATTTGGGCCACATAAGCTCTGCTTTGGCTCGATATCATTATATAATAATAATTACTCATAGAAACTCAACAGAAAGGATGCGCTAAGGGCTCCATGGGTTGCAAACAACAACTTATTATCGACTCAGTCATTTCTAACCAGGCATACACCAAAAAAAGGAACCTCTTCACTGCCTTTATTGACTATAAGAAAGCCTTTGACTCAGTGCCGCATGAATGGCTGGTAGATATATTAAGAATATATAAAGTCGATGATAATATAGTGACCTTCTTAAGACATATAATGACAGATTGGAACACTAAAATTCACCTCCAAGTACCTGGTGAAAACAATATCGAAACGGAAAATATGGCAATTAACCGCAGCCTATTCCAAGGAGACTCGCTGAGTCCCTTGTGGTTCTGTCTAGCGATGAACCCACTATCCCAGCTATTGAACTCCACTGACTCAGGTTTAAGCATTAAAAACAACAACACTGTAGTTAAGTATAACGAAAAGATCATCAAGTACAGAGATCTGGAAATACAAATAGAAAGACAATGGAGAATGGAAAATACCCAGACGATACCTATTATTCTTTCTACCACTGGAGTCATTCCGAAGAACCTCCTAGAAAACATAAAAAAGCTGGGTCTAAATGAACATCTTTATAAGGCCATACATAAAGCTGTACTCCTCGCGACGTCCAGATGTGTACGAAAATTTTTGGGAGATACTCCAGCATACCAAGTCACCTAGGGCTCAATAACACAGAAAGAGTCCCACCAGAGCTCAATCCTTTTGATACCGTAGGTATCTGGGATGAGTGAATTTTCCTCTTAGAGGGAGTGTGAGCCGTATGGCTAAATCTGGATAATACTCAAAAGCAAAATTAATTCCAAGCACATAGTAAAAGCAATAAACACATACGCAATAACATCTTTCACATAGTCCTCATTTGGCGTTATAAAATTGTCGAATACGGAAACTGAAGAACTA